TCAGGGTGTCTTCCGATGTCTGGAAGATGCCCCGCTCGAAGTATATGCCTCGCTCGTGCCAGTTTTCCTTGTCTAGTCCCGGACGGATGAACGCCTCCTTGAACGTGCGGTCCCAGGTGATCCCGTCCCGGCTGCTCATCAGCACGATGTCGTTGACCCCTGGCCCGTTCGGCCAATCCGGGTCGGGCGTGTGCTCGAGAACGAGGCGGGAAGGGAACATCAGGTACGTACCTGCGAGCGCTCATAGGGCACGCAGGCGTTCGTGTATAGGTGCTCGGACGGTACCTCGCCTGTGTCGATCAGCACGAGGTCGCTCCAGTTAATGAAATCCTTGGAGGTAGCGCGTCTAATCCAGCGAACTCCGCCTATGAACGGGCCGTCGGACCCGCCTACCCCTCTCGTATAGATCACGTACTGATTCGTCCACTGGTCCCAGAATGAGATGTTGAACGAATCGAACGGGTGGTCCATCAGAATTGGCGCGTCCCCCATCAAACCCCAGCTGATGCCGTCCGGCGACGACAGCGCGAGAACACAGGTGCCGGTGGCTCCCAAGACCTTACCTTCCTCCGATCCCGTCCGCACGACGCCCTTGTAACGCCGTTCGGGCGGCTCATCAGGATTGGTGTCGTTGAAGACGCAGAGGTTGGATCCCGGACCCATCCAGATCAGGTTGTTGTCCGTCGACTCTCTGAATTCAAACAGGCCCAAGCTCGGCTTCTCCCAGTGAATGCCGTCCATGCTCTCCGCGTAGGCGGTGTAGCGCGGGCCGGACACCCTGACGGAGCCTCGGTGGTCGCATCGGTAATAACCCCGGAACAGGTCGCCGTCACGGATGATCGACATGTACGAGACGCTCGCCTCGTCCCACGGCTTGTCCCCCACAATGACCGTCTCACGGCGAGTGGGGGAGTGCATGAGCCGCCTCACGCCGCCCATGGCGTCGATGATGAGGTCGTCGAGGAAGAGCTGGCGATTGGTTCCGATACCGATGGGGTTTTGCATGTGTCCGGTCCTCAGGTGATGGCTTGGGGCCTCGTCCTTCTTTGCGTCAGTGGCACGTCAGAGCGGCCTTCAACCAAACTTGAAGGCGTAGACATCTGCGTCCTTGAGGACGAACCGTAGTGCGGCGCCGTCCGTCAAGCCCGCTCACGTCGCCGCTCCTGTATTCACACCACCTGGCCGTTCCGTCGATCTCGTCGTCCCGACTTACTCCGGATTCGTGTCGCCGACTGCCGAGGGCGTGGCCGCCTGCGTCCTGGATCTCGACCTTGATCGAGCCGACCGCGGACGTCGAGTAGTTGAGCTCAAGCTCCCTTCCTGTGAAGGTGAAGGGCCGCGTCGTGAACTCGCCTCCTCGGAATTCGGAGTTGACCGATACGAAGCCGTCCGTCCGTAGGGTATAGCGGCGGATGCGCTGTGTCGGAAGGTGGGCGTTCTCCATGCCGTACATGGTCATCTCGGTGTCCGACGTTGCAGGATGCCAACCTCGAAGTAGATGCCGCGGTCGTGCCAGTTGTTGAAGTCCAGCCCCGGGCGGATGAACGCCTCCATGAAGCTCCGGTCGAAGCGTGAACCCGTCGCGGCTGGACATGAACACGATATCGCTAACGCCCGTGTCGTATGTCCAGTCAGGATTGGGGATCCGTCGTGGACGAACCGCGAGGGGAACATCAGGTACGTCCCCGGCGCTCGATCGTACTGGATGCACGAGTTTGTGTAGAAGTGTTCCCAGGGCGTGTCGCCGCAGTCGATGTTCTCCAGCGGTCCCCAGTTCAAAAAGTCCGTCGACGTGCTGCGGCGAATCCATCGAACGCGTGAGAAAGGAAGTCGCTTGTGCACCTCGGTCGCGACACTGCTGCGGACATCTCCACGTACTCCTGCGCACGTAGTCCCAGAAGGCGAAATAGGGAATATTGAGCGTGTGCGAGGTTTGATTCCGTCAGGATAGGCTCCTCGCGCATGATCTCCCACCGAAGCCCGTCGGGCGAGGAGAGCGCCAGCATTACTCGCTGACGCGTATAAATGCCTTGTACTGCTCCTCCGGCCTTGCGTCGGGATTCGCGTCCTTGAACGGCGCGAGGTTGATACCCGGCTCTGTCCATACGATGTTGTTGTCCTTCGATCCGTTGAACTCGATGAGGCCGAGGCTGGGCTTCGTCCAGTTGATGCCGTCATCGCTCTCGGCGTAGCAAGTGATCGAGTTGTAGTCGGAGTCTTGCAGTTGAGGGTCGGCACGGTACCACCCTCGAAACTTGCCCTGATCGGGAAAGGCGATGAGATAGGAAAGCCCGCCAACCTCCCATGGGTGTTCCGGTTCCAGGGCGGCGCTTTGCCGGGTCGGGGAGTGGAGGACGCGCTCGACGCCGGTCGAGTCGGCAATCCAAAAGTCGTCGACAAAGAGCTGACGGTCACTGCCGATCTCTACTGTGTCTGAGTGCTCATAAAGCTGCCCTCCGTTTATCTTCCGCCGAAAAGGCGCGCTCGGTAGGGGTCAAACCAATTGCGCAGCCCGTTCGCCAGCAAATTGAAGCCAAGTATAGCAAATAGGAACGCGAGCGCGGGTCCCAGCGACAGCCACGGCCATTGGAATAGCGCAAGTCGCGCTCCGGAGAGCAGCGCCGCCCACTCCGGCGTCGCGGGCATCCTCACCGACGCCCGTTGCATCTGGATCGAAATCTCTACATAGCGTTCACCCAGCAGCACGCCCAGGAAGCCTAGTTCTCCCAGCATGAGCATTACGGCGCTAATCTCGAGCGCGATTGCAGGCAGTAGCTGTGGCATGGTGGCGGGCAAGAGATGCTTGCGAAAGAGTTGCGGGGTCGATGATCCAGCGCCAACGGGGGCTTCCATATATGGGCTGGTTCTTGGTGTATCGGACCGCGCCATTTACCACGTTAGTTATTTCGGCCCACCCGGTGAGTCCGAGTCCCAGCAGAAAGACGCCGAAACCGATCTGCGGTCCAATGGCGGGACGCAATATGAAACGCGACAGCAGGACGGCGGCACCGACGACGAAACGGCGGCAAACGACAGGATTTGCTGGCCCGTCGCCCCGCCTCTCCAACCGGCGACCAGCTCGAGTGTAGCTCCGATGGCTAGCCGCATCAACGCCACCGACAAGACCAGTGTCATTGTCGACTTGGTGCCGTGTAGGATCCGGCTCAGCATGTCCCGCCCGTCGAGGTCCGAAGCGCGGCGGGTGGCTAGGGCTTGGCGTAGGTGGGAATCCGGTGCTGCCCAATTCTCCGTGTATCTCACTGGCGCCGCTTACCGCGCTCCTCAGGGTTATAGGGAGATATGACGCTTGGCCAACACGTCGCCACGAATAGTAGTACTACCGCTATCGTGCTGACAATCAGCGACGTGTTGGACAAGAAACGTATTACGCCTCTCGCGAATCTGTCCCACTGCCGAGTTCTGGCCGACGGGACCGCGTCGTTTTCCATCGGCTGCAAGGAAATGCCCAGCGCCCTCACACCCCACCGGCGTATCGTGACGCTTACTGCGAGTAACACGACAAGCCCGCCTACCAGGAGCCAGCCCTGTCGTAACCACCAGACTGCAGCGCTTGTTTCTACTACTTCAGGGGGCATACCGAAGCCGTTTTGTAAGGCGCAGTGTGTTCGTATTCGTCCTGACCATACTCAAGAAGCCCTATGAGACCGTCGCGTCCGCCGGGGCCAATCTCCGGTCGAAACGCTGAATGAGTATCTTGATTGCCGTGTTGATGAGTAAGAGGGTGACGCCGATGGTGATAAGAAGGTAGCTGGCAAGGGCCGCGTCCTTGCTCCCGACGGCGTCGAGCAGCCGGAAGCCGATCCCTCCCCAGGAGAAGAACCACTCCACGACCAGAATGCTGCTCAGCGAGAAGAAGAACGAGGAGTTCACCGCCGTCAGGACGGGCGTCGAAATGTTTCGCATGATGTGTCGGAAGAGCACCGTCCACGGGAGGAGCCCCTTGGCGTGCGCCGTTCGGACATAGTCGGTACGAATCACGTCCTGCAGCGAAGCTATCGTCACCTGCGCCACGAACGCCATCGGGCGGACGGAGAGCACAAGCGCGGGCGGGAACAACCGCCTCGGGTCGAACACGTCGACGAGAGGGCTAACGAGGACGAACTTGATGCCGAACGTGGGATTGATGTACCGCACGAAAGAGCAAGAGCACCAGCAGTGCGAGTAGGAAGCTCGGCGTAAGCACCCCCACGAAGCTTAGGACCGACGCGATTCCGCTGACCCTCGACCCGGGCCAAAGGCCGCCCACCAGACCGAGACCCAGTCCAACGCACGATCCCAGCACTACCGCGCTCAAGAGGAGAAGGAGCGTCTGCCAGTAGGCGTGCGCGACTATCGAAAACTCTTCGCCGTCCTCCCAGAAGCTTGTGAGGAAGTCGAAAGTAGCTGAAAGCGTCGTCTGAAGTCGGGTTACGAAGTCATAGAGGGCACGGAGAACCGACTGGTCGAGGGCAGCATAGCTGAAGAGCGAGACGAGGATGACGACCAGAAGGATGCGATATCCGAGAAGGGCGAATGTACGCAGAGTGCACCTCTATCGTTGCGTTCACGTCATCCGCCGGACGGAGCGATAAAGGCAGCCTACTCGTGAGAAAGTAGCGGTCGGAGGCGTCCCTACCTAGCTCGGTTCCGTGTCTACGAGATGGCAGGCTACCCAGTGGTTGTCACGCTTCTCCTCCAGAGGCGGCTCGTCTTGGGCGCACATCTCGACGGCTATGGGACACCGTGTTCGGAAACGACACCCGCTCGGCGGGTTGATCGGGCTGGGCACATCCCCAATCAGTATGATCCTGTCCCGTTTTCGAGCCAACTCCGGGTCGGGCGCGGGCACACCCGACAGCAGCGCCCTGGTGTAGGGATGGAGCGGCTCACTGTACAGGTCGCTCGTCGCCGACCGCTCGACCACCTTACCTAGATACATCACCGCCACACGGTCGCTGATGTGGCGCACAACCCTGAGGTCGTGGAGATGAATAGGTACGTCAGCTGGAACTGGTCCTGCAGTTCCTCCAGCAGGTTGATGATCTGGGCCTGAATCGACACGTCCAAGCCGAGATCGGCTCGTCCGCGACGATGAACGTTGGATTGACCGACAGCGCCCTCGCGATGACGATGCGCTGCTGCTGGCCGCCGCTGAACTCGTGCGGATACCTGTTCTTGAAGTAGGGGTTGAGGCCCACCGTCTTCAGGAGCTCCTCGACGCGGTCCTCCACCTCGTCGTCCTCCACGATCCGGTGAATCCTGATCGGCTCGGCGATTGCCTCTCCGACGGTCTGCCGAGGGTCGAGCGCGGCGGCGGGGTCCTGGAATACAATCTGCATCTTCTTGCGGAACGGGCGTATTTCGCTCTTCTTGAGCTTCGTAAGGTCGGTACCCTCGAAAGAGACTGCGCCGCCCGTCGGCTTCTCGAGCTGGAGGATCGAATAGCCGAGCGTCGACTTACCGCACCCGCTCTCTCCCACGAGTCCAAGCGTCTCGCCCTCACGTATGTCAGGTCGACGCCGTCGACCGCGCGCACGATGTTGCGGTGGCGCCCAGCCCGAAGATGATCCCCTTCGACCCAACCTCGAAGTGGGTCTTGAGGCCCTTGATATCTACGAGCACATTATTTTGAGAGTGGGAGTCTTGCGCCATTAGTTTTGTCTAGTTTGTGGATGTCACTGGGTCGGCCACCGGGTTCCAGCACGCTGCTAGATGGTCCTCGCCGGCGGGCAGCAGGGCGGGGCGCTCAACGGTGCAGCGTTCCACAGGCGCGCTGCATCGCACGGCGAACGGGCAGCCGGGCCGCAAACTCGCGAGATTGGGCGGAAGGCCCTTGATCGACATCAGTCGTCCAGCCGTCCTTCCTCGATCGAGGGCATGGAGTTGAGCAGCATCGACGTGTAACCGGTGCTTGGGCCGCGCGAAGATGTCGTCCACCGACGCCATCTCGACAATCGAACCGGCGTACATCACTGCGACCTGATCGCACAGTTCTGCTACCACGCCCAGGTCGTGCGTGATCCACATTACCGACATGCCGCGTTCCTCTTTGATCTCGCGGACGAAGTCCAGCAGCTGCGCCTGAATCGTCACGTCGAGCGCCGTCGTCGGCTCGTCCGCGATGAGGAGCAGGGGATCGCAGGACAGGGCGATGGCGATCATCACCCGCTGCCTCATGCGCCACCGCTGAACTGGAACGGGTAGTCTGTTGTAGTCGGCTCTCCGGCGACGGGATGCCGACACGGTCGAGCAGCTCAATCGTCCTGTTGCGCGCCGTGGTGTCGTTGATGCCGAGGTGGGTCTTCATCGTCTCGGCGATCTGCGGGCCTACCTTCATCGTCGGGTTGAGCGACGTGGCAGGGTCCTGGAAGATCATCCCCATCTTCGTGCTGCGCCTGCGTCGGACCTCCGTATCGGACATCTTCGCCAGGTCTTCCCCGTCCAGCACAACGCTTCCACCTACGACCCCGCCGAGGTTCTTCGGAATCAGCCCCATGATAGAGAGGGCGGTCATCGTCTTTGCCGGAGCCGCTTTCTCCGACGATTCCCAGGGTCTCCCCTGCCGGATGTCGAACTCACACTGTTCACCGGTTTGATGGTGCCCTCGCGAGAGTACAGGTGCGTTTCGAGTTCCTTTACGCTGAGTACAGGTTCTGACATTCTTAAATGTTGCCTTCCGCTACGCCGCTATCGCGAATCTGCCGCGGGTTGAGCAGCGTCGTTCAGTCCGTCACCCAGGAAGTTGAACCGATGACCGCGATGGCCAGAGTCAGGCCCGGCATGAGCACCAGATGTGGATAAGTACGCCACTGGAATAAATTCTCTGTGACCATGCTTCCCCAGCTCGCGCCGGGTGGCTGAATTCCGAATCCCAGGAAGCTGAGGGAGGACTCCAAGAGGATGATGCCACCGACCCCGATGGACATCGAGACGATGACGGGAGCGTCGCTCCCATTCATGATCCTCGTCCAGGTACGATACACCAATGCGTTGTATGAGTCACACATTGAGAACAATGAGGAAACTTCTCTCCCTTGAGGGAAGTGCGATACTCAACTTAGGTCATATGCCCGGACTAGAACAGAACTCGAACATTTCAAACTGAGTCACTACCTGAGCGGTACGTACCTTGACATTCCTGATGAGCACTGCGCAACATCTCTCGTCCGTGAGCTGCTGCTATGTAGTTTGTTGTCTGGCTGTGTTGTTGCCGCCGTGAGCGTCTTCTGCTTCGACACGTGCGCCGGTGACCGCCTAGCGCCGACAGTTCAGAAGAGAAGACCTCTGGCCCCTCCGTTTGCGGAGGGGTTTTTTTTGCCCGAAAAGCCCGAGAAGGAGCACCGATGCCGGTACCAGTGTCAAAAAGATTGGGTGTGCAAGAGCTTGCCGATCTAAACGAACGCTTCGAGTCCGCATGCGATGGGTGCTTGCGTCACGCGGTCAATGAGCGTTTCGGTGCGGGCGCGGCCCAGATGTCCAGCTTCCGCCTCGAGGATGTCGCGCTGTTCGACATGTTCTGGCGAGTCAACCAGCAGGCGCGCCTTGTGACACTCGACACGTGGCGCCTACGCGATGGAAACGGAAACGTTGACACGGTCATGGTGCAGGACACTGGCTGCCCGCTCCACAACGCACGCATAGAGGCGGGCACCAACTGGCCACGGGCCTGCGGGGTGTGGCAGCGTATGGTCGGTGAGCACGGGTTCAATCTATTCTACCGAGGGCCGGGTTGGAGACTAGATTGCCTGTGCACGGGCGGAAGGTCGAGCTCTTTGGAGCGTTTCTGCCTGGCTGGCATCGACGCATGGATTACGGGCCTGCGCCGGGACCAAGGTATGGAGCGCGGCAACATTGGCATCGTCGAGTGGGAGGAGCCCCGCGCTAACTACAAGATCAACCCGCTCGCTAACTGGACCTTCGAGGAGGTGCGAAACTACGTGGAAGAGCACGCTGTCCCTTACAACGAGCTGCACGACAAGAACTACCCATCGATCGGGTGCGCGCCTTGCACGCGGGCCATCGAGTCGGGAGAGGACCCTCGCGCAGGACGCTGGTGGTGGGAGTCTGACCCCAACGCCAAGGAATGCGGGCTGCACCTAGTGGCGCTCGCGGCACGCTTATGAGCGCGCAACTGCGAGCGATCATAACTATGTAAACAATGACAACCCAAGCTCTTCTCCATGACCTGCACTCCGAGTCCAAGCATCTCCGTGCCCTTGAGTCGGGAGAGCGCCATCCACATCGATTGTTGCGGGCAGTGGTCGCGGACGGTCGACGGCCAGAGGCTGCTATTCTCCGGTGCAAGACTAGCCGCTCGTTGATTCGCATGCTCGCCGTCAAGGCGCTCCGACCCGCCCACCTGCCGTTCCCTGTGGTCCACATCGACACCGGCCACAACTTTCCCGAGGTCATCGCTTTCCGCGATCGCGTCGTCGAGCGGCTTGGCGTGGACTATGGTCGTGGGCTCGGTTGACGACGCAATTGCCTCCGCGTATTCCGACCCACCGCGCCCTGATTTCCCTCGCAACCGCATGCAGACACCAGTGCTGCTGGAAACCCTTCGCATGGGAAGTTCACCGCGGTTTTGCGCGGCGCGCGGCGCGATGAGGGAAGCGATCACGCGCCAAGGAGCGTGTGTACTCCGTGCGCGACGAATTCGGCCAGTGGGACCCACGCAATCAAGCGCCCCGAGGCTCTGGGGCCTCTACAACGGCAGCATTGGCTTCGGCCAGCACATGCGCGTCTTCCCGCTCTCCAACTGGACGGAGCTGGACATCTGGCGCTACATAGCCGAGGAGAACATCGACCTGCCGGAAATCTACTACGGTCACCAGCGCGAGGTATTTGAGCATGACGGGATGCTCATGTGCGCTATCGCCGGTGATGCAACTCATGCGTGGCGAGCCGGTGGTCGTCCGCAGCGTGTGCGTTTCCGCACCGTCGGTGACATGACCTCCACAGCAGCCGTACCGATCGGAAGCTGCTCACACCCGAAGCAGTCATCGCCGAAACGCTGAAGACCGCATCTCCGAGCGTGGCGCGACCCGGGCTGATGACCGGACGCCGAGGCGGCGATGGAAGACCGCAAGCGCGAGGGGTATTTCTAGCATGGACCTCTCCGCATCGCCACCGCCGGATCCGTGGACGACGGCAAGAGCACGCTCATCGGTCGTCTGCTGTATGACTCGAAGGCCCTCGACGACGACGTACTCGCCGCCGTCGAGGATGCCAGCCGGCGCCAACACGGCGACTACGTGAACCTCGCTCTCGTCACGGACGGCCTCCGCGCCGAACGGGAGCAGGGCGTCACGATCGACGTTGCCTACCGCTACTTCTCCACTCCAACGCGCAAATTCATTCTGGCAGACACGCCAGGGCACGTGCAGTACACGCGCAACATGGTCACCGGGGCGTCCACCGCCGAGGCGGTGCTCATCATGATTGATGCGCGCAACGGCGTTGTGGAGCAATCACGCCGCCACGCCGTAATCGCCTCGTTGTTGGGCATCGATCGCATCGTCGTTTGCGTCAACAAGATGGACCTCGTTGGCTATGAGGAGCGGGCCTACGAAGCAGTCCGTTCCAAATTCACTCCACTTGTGGCGCGGCTCGATGTGGACGATGCGACCTTCATCCCCATGTCGGCGCTCAACGGCGACAACGTGGTCGAGCCGTCGGCGAACATGCCCTTGGTACCAGGGTGGCCCGCTGCGGGCCCACCTCGAAAGCCTGCCGGTGCGTGATGGACTCGATGCGCTGCCGTGAGAATGCCCTGTTCAATACGTCGTCCGCCCCCACCGCGAGGAGTACCACGACTACCGTGGCTATGCGGGGAGCGTCGCGTCGGGTGTCCTGCGCGTGGGCCAGCGAGTGCGCATCGTGCCCTCCGGCGTGGAGAGCGTCATCACGACCATCGAAGCGCCTTGGGGCGCCGTGGAGGAGGCGCGCGCTCCCGACGCCGTGACCGTCCAGATTGCCGACGACCTCGACGTTACTCGCGGGGAGATGATCTGTGGAGCGGACGACTGGCCGGCGATGGCCCAGGATCTCGATGCAGTCGTTTGCTGGATGGACGAGCGCACCGCGCTTCGTGCCGGTAATGTGTACCGTATCAAGCACACCACGCGATCGGCGAAGGCAGTGGTCACCGACCTCGTGTCGTTGTTCAGCATCACGTCGCTCACCGGCGAAACGGATTCTGATTTGCTGTGGCTAAACGAGATCGGCCACGTCAAGCTCAGGGTCAGCGCACCGCTGGCGGTCGACGACTACACCAGCAACCGCGTCACCGGCAGTTTCATCCTCATCGACGAAGGAACCAACGCCACCGTCGCTGCGGGAATGATTGGCGAGCCTGGATTCGCGTTCTCCGTTCCCACGGGACACCGCTAGCCTGAGGCACGCGGACAGATCCGCCTACTTAGGGCCTCAGCCGCAACAGATGGGGGATGAGCGCACGCGCTTGATCATGCCTGGTAAATGACGTCAAGAAGACGTTGAGTGTGACCGAGAAGGATCGCTACTGGCGACTATGCTGCCCAGTGTACCAGCGGGAGCGGGAGGGACGTCTGAACCCACCGCTGGACCACCGTAGGGCGCCACCGACTAGTATTGTAAAATTCCTACTGCGAGGGGTAAGGGGGCACGCTGAAGCTCTCGATCGTCCAATCCACATGATCTCATACAAGGTGTATAGGTTGGTCGTCCTCTCTCTTCTGATCAAGAGAGGAAGGAGTCTGAAACGCAGGGAGGGGCGGTTAGAAGGAGGAGTCCAGGGATGTCCTGTGGGAGTCTTGGATTGTCCTCGGGAGCGAGGGCGGGAATAATGTACCTTGGTGGGGGGCGGGGGGGCCGCGGAGCGAGGCCGGCGGACCACCGGTGGGGGGGGAAATATCTGTGGGAAGGTTGTGAAAGAACAGGGGCCACGGGGCAGGGAACGAGCGCCCACTGATAAGTGGAGACCACAGGGGGGGAGAGGGGGGGATAACAAATCATAACACAAAGGCTAATCATACGGAAGGTAGTCGGTGGTGCAAGGAAAAATCACAATACACGGGTTGCGCTGAAAAGGGGAGGGTCTCTGGTGGTGTCGCATGCGCCACGGCGCAAGATGGTCGGGACGGGAACGGGAGCGGAGCCGGCGGACCCGTACAGGTCGTCGGAGAACTGGGGCGAACCAAGCTGGCGGGCCCACCACTCGGCCAAAGTCCCAGAACAACGGTGTCCGCTTCCAGTACCTCCTGATCAAAATCCTGGTCGGTTACGGGTGTGGGTAGGGACATGTCGGAACCTCCTAATCTATGATAACCCTGACTCAGCAACTTCGGAGGCCATTCTTGGCTGTCGAATAGAAAGGCCAATTACAAACCTGCTGCATAAAGTGTAAGACCGCAGGCCCTCTTAGTCAACTCTCGCGAAGCACACCGACGGACTTCTGAAGTCTGTAAAGAGACTTGTCCCTGCCCAGCACAGCCATAGTCTCGAACAGCGGCGGGGCCGCCTTTCGCCCCGTCACGGCCACGCGTATGGCTCCAAAAAGCTGGCCCGTCTTGATGTTCAGCTCCTCCGCAAGGGGCCTCAGCTCTCCCTCCAGTGACTCGGTAGACCACGCGTCCAGGCCCGTTACCCTCTGTAGCGTAGACTCAAGGGCGAGTGTGGTGCTTTCCCTGTCCATGCCTTTCTGAACAAGGTCCTCTGGCGGGTATTCAAGCTCTTCCAGGAAGAAGAAGTCCATTAGCTGTGGGACTTCAGTCATTGTCTTGAGGCGCTCCTGTACCAGGGGAGTGATGGCGCTAACGTAGTCCTCCGAAATAGGGCGGGGCACCTCTCTTGCAAGCGAATCGTCCAGCACTTGAAGGATGCGACTCACCAGGTCTTTGTCGCTCAGGTTGCGTATGTACATCCCGTTCATCCAGGTCAGCTTCTCCAGGTTGAAGATGGCCCCGGACTTGACTATACGATCGATGGAGAAGTGCCGTATCAGGTCCTCTCGGGAGAGAATCTCCGTGTGATCGTCCAGGGACCAGCCCAGAAGGGACAGGAAGTTGAACATGGCCTCCGGCAGGTAGCCCATATCCCTGTACTGGAGCACCGACACGTCGCCATGACGCTTGCTCAGCTTGGAGCGGTCTGGACCCAGAATGATGGGCAGGTGAGCGAAGTAGGGCATCTCGTATCCCAGGGCGTTGTACAAGTGGACGTGCCTGGGGACGCTGGGCAGCCACTCCTCGGCCCGCAGCACGTGGGAGATTTCCATGAGGTGGTCGTCCACGATGTGGGCTAGGTGGTAGGTCGGATACCCGTCCGATTTGAGTATAACGAAGTCATCCACCGTCGCGTTGGCAAATGTCACGTCGCCTCTAATGATGTCGTGGAAGGTGGTCTCCCCCTCCAGGGGCATTTTGAAACGCACCACTGGGCGCGGATCCGCGGATTGCCCGTATCCCATATCCCGGCACAGGCGGTCGTAGCCGGGGGGCAGTTTCTGGCGCGCCTGCTCCTCGCGCATCTCCTTGAGGCGCTCTGACGAGCAGTAGCAGTAGTAGGCATGCCCTCTCTCGACCAGGCCTGCCGCCGCCTGCTGGTACAGCTCCAACCGCTCTGACTGGGTGTATGGGCCGTAGGCGCCGCCGATATCAGGGCCCTCGTCCCAGTCCAGACCGAGCCACCGGAGGGAGTCCATGATGGACTCCACCGCCCCGTCAACGGTGCGGGCGACGTCCGTATCCTCGATTCGAACTATGAAGTCGCCCTGGGTGTGACGGGCGAACAGCCAAGTGAACAGGGCGGTGCGTATGTTTCCCACGTGGGGATCTCCCGTAGGGCTTGGTGCGTAGCGTACTCTGACTCTCTCGTCCATGTGTCTCAGGACCTTTCTATAATGGGTTGTCCGGCCTCTGCTCCGTTCATGTTCAGTTGGGAGAGGAAGGCTTTCAAGTCCGCCGGCAGGGGAGATGTGAACTCCATGTACTCGCCTGTCCCCGGCAATCTGATGCCCAGAGGTGGGCGTGAAGAAACTGCCGCTCCAGGCGCGGGTCTTTTCCGCCGTAGAGAGCGTCTCCAACGATGGGGTATCCCAGGGCGGATAGGTGTACCCTTATCTGGTGGGTCCTGCCCGTCTTGGGGATCACCTCCAGCAGGGTGTAGCCCGGCGCACTCTCGACGGCGCGGTAGGAGGTCTCCGCCTCGCGCCCAAGCTGTCACCACTGCCATGCGCTTTCGGTTCCGATTATCCCTGCCTATCCGGGCCTTGATAACGCCCTCCGGACGGGTCGATGTTTCCCTTCGCCAAGGCAGTATACCCCTTGAGGACGCTCCTGTCCTTGATCTGCCCGGATACGTGGCGGTGCGCCCTGCGGTTCTTGGCTGCCACCATAGCCCGGAGGTGTCCATGTCCAGGCGATGCACTATGCCCGGCCTCTGCTCATCCCCGACCTCTTCAATGCCGGGAAGCCGGGCGAGGAGGGCGTTGGCGACGGTGTCCCGGCGGTGTCCCGGCGCGGGATGCACCACCATACCCGCAGGCTTGTCTATCACCAGGATATCTTCGTCCTCGTATATTACCGAGAGCGGTATTTCCTGAGGAGATACGCCTGAGGGCGGAGGCGGAAGCATCTCCATCTCCACCGTCTCTCCTCCCCGCAGCCTGTAGGAAGACTTTACGATTGCGCCGTCCACCTTCACCAGGCCGCCGGCCACCAGGCCCGCTATCTGGGCGCGGGACAGGTCGGTCTCGCGGGAGGCCAGGAACTTGTCGAGACGCTCGTCCCGGACATCGACCACTACTCGACGGACTTCTTCCACTGTTCTTCCCTTGCTTCCAATCCGGTGTCTTCGGTCACCGGTGTCATCTCTGCGTCGACGCTCGGAGAGTCCTCCCTCTGCTCCAGCGCAACCGGAAAGAGGAAGGCCTCTGACGCCGAGTAGCGCTCCGGCGGGCTGTTGGTCGTCAGCATTGTTATCATCAGCCCGACCAGGCCCACCACTATGGCCGAGTCTGCCAGGTTGAACACGGGCCACGCTCCCACGTCAATGAAGTCTACCACATAGCCGAGGCGCAGGCGGTCCATCAGGTTGCCTATCGCGCCTCCTAGCTGCAACCCCAGGCTGATGCGCAGGATGGGGCTGCTGACCCTGTGGATGCGGTAGAAGACCAGCAGTATAGCTATTCCCACAAAAGACGCGAAGATGAGGAAGAGGGTCTGGTTGGGAAACAGTCCGAAGGCGCTGCCTGTGTTCTTGACGTAGGTGAGCCGGAAGATGCCGGACTCCGGGATGGACTGCCCCGGGTACATTGTCAGCAGCACCAGGGCCTTGGACAGCTGGTCCGCCAACAGGGCAGCCAGCATTACGAACAGGGACATGCCTCCCAGGATATCTCTGGGACGCTTTTCGGTTAAATGCGGCTCTTCCATATCGGAATGCAATGGCGTGGATCGCGGAAGCGCTCTCTTGGCTGGCCCGGGGTTACGTCTAGTCTGTGGCAGGAATGATAAGTTAACTCAACTTGTTGGTCAATCAGCTTGGGCGCCCTTGGTATGATCAAGTTGTCGGAGAGGATGTGCTGTCCAGCAACAGCTCCAGAGCATGACATAGCCGGCGAAAGGAGCGTGAGTTGTGGTAAGCCATTTCAATATCTATGAAACTGCTCAATGAGGCTTGATGCAGAGTCTCTTTGTAGGCCTGTCCGTGGGGCATTTGGTTGGTGAGCCATTGCTTAGGGTTTGGGATGTCTTCAGCTTCCTGAGACAGGGCGGCTGTGTCTGGTATTCCACGCTGGCCCTTGATGGTGTCCAGGCTGGCCAGAAACCAGGACTCATATGACCAGTGAGCGCATACTATCTCCAGTGGGCGCATCAAGCCCATATGCTCGCAGCGCTGCAAAAGCCGTTGGGCCAGGGCTACGGGGCAGTCACCGTCCGTGTCCAGCAGGATCAGGATTGCATCACATTCCGGTTTGTTTTGAGCGTGTTGGAGAAATCTCTCCAGCTTGTTTTCCAAGTTTGTTCGGCCATTGGCTGTCACTACGTTGGTTCTGCCCTGAGCCACCATGACGTCCGGCCGATTGTACCTTTCGAATAGTATCCTGCCTAACAAACCCGGCAACGCAGTGGCGTCTCCAACTCCTTCCACCACCGGGATAATGGTGGTCATTCTGCAGGTTTCCCAGCGCCTGCTGGCTGGAGACCCTCCATGCTGTGCAGCTCGCCGGGCAAAAACAGGTTGTCTTTCACTGACTTAAGCTGATGCTCCGCAACTTTACCCACACGCGTTGAGCCGTCCTGGGCAGTCACCGCCCGAATGCTTTCGATTGGCAATAGATTGATCAAGTCAGGGCTATGGGTGGCAACCAGCACCTGCCCCCGCAGCGACGCTTCTTTCATAGTGTCTGCCAGCACTGCCATAGCGCCGGGGTGAATTGCCAACTCAGGCTCTTCCAAGCCCATCAGCGACGGGGCGGGATCCTGGAAGAGGGCCGTCAGCATAGCCAGTAACCGAATGGTGCCATCGGATTCTTGGGCCAAGTCAAACCAGAGGCCTTTTCTGACCCCGTCATTTCTTTCGTGTTCTAGCTCCACTACGTAGTAGCTGCCAGCCTTCTTTACTCGAATATCCCGGATTCCCGGGACCGCAACGCTCAGCGCTTCTTTCAGTTCGGGTAGAAAGCTACTCTTTTTTTGCGCCATATCTCTCAGGGTAGAGGCAAGGTTTTCTCCACCTGTCGCCAATGGATAGCTTTCCGCCACCTTCTGAGGGTGGCGCAGTGCGTTGGGGAAGATATGGTACATAGCACTATGGCTCAGATGCGTCCTTGCAATGCCAAGAACAAACTGCAGAAAAAAATAGGGGTTTTTGAAAGCCGACTCTTTTCCGGGACCCCCCATAAAAGCCAACGGCAGAAGGAATAGCAGTGCGTTCTCAGAAATCAGGTTAATGTCCTCGCGATCAACTTCTTCTTCCGCTATGAGCCGTTTGATGGCGCTGGCATCTTTTGTAGGTGTGGAAAACTCTCTTGAAATTCGGTCCAGATTAGGCTTTGAGAGGCGTCCGCCAATGATCTCAACCTCCGTGGGGCTGCGGCCCGTGTCAATGTGTAGCTTGGCGTACTCCCTCTTGATACGATGCCTGGTCTTCCCACGGGTCATCAATGAAACGTTGTACTCAAACTTTACCCCTCCAACCTCTGCGTGGAAGCCAATTTCAGGTGCCAGAACTCTCCTGCCAGGAGACCTGCGGCCAATCGAGTCTATACCGCCGCGCTTGTTTAAGGCCATTTCCAGCCCATCGCGTGATGCATCGGCAAGGAAACCCAGAACGTCCAGCAGGTTGCTTTTGCCTGAGGCGTTGGGGCCCGCTAACACCGTTAGGGGATCCAACTCCAACTCGGCGTACTCTATGCTGCGGAAGTTCTTGGCCCACACCTTTGTTATAGTTGGTCTAGGTTCCGATTCTGTTGCCATTGTTCCCATCCTGGATAGCTACGATAGCTACGTCCCTTTAGAAGAGAAGTATAGCATAGGCGTAAAAACAGTTAGCGGTCCGCGACTACCAAAGACCATTGCCTCTGTTTCTCACTCACCTTGAGCGCCAAAGCTGGTCGTTTCATGGGGTCGTTGGAAGGCCGTGCCTGAAGATAGCAGCGCTATCCCTGTTATGATAGAATCCGATTGTCAGTTGCAACTACCATCCAGAGAGAAACAGCTATGCCCTACGCCATCAGGCCCGCCAGGGAAGAGGATGTCTCCCAGCTAACGGAGATAGAGCGGGAAGCCTTCCCGACCAACTGGCCTCCAGCCCCGTTCAAACGGGATTTGTCCAACAGAATGGCAAGCGTTCTGGTCGCTTACGACCCATCGGCCGAAGCAGCGCCGCTGAGTGAAGCGGATTCTGAATCGCCGGTTGCGGGCAATACCTCAAACCCCGGCGGTCTGAGAGGTATCCTGCGACGCCTGTTCGGTAGAGGCAAGCCGGCCCGGCACCGCTTCTGGGCAGGGATCAGCTTGCCGGCTACGTGGCCACCTGGTTTATGACCGACGAGGCCCACATTACCGGCATAGCCGTGCGGGAAGCGCTGCGAGGCAATGGCGTGGGTGAACTACTGCTCCTGGCTTCGGTCGAGCTGGCTTTGGACCGAGGCTCGCGTGTGGTGACCCTGGAGGTGCGGGTGTCCAACCACGTGGCCCAATCAATGTACACCAAGTACGGATTCAAAGAGTGGGCCTGCGCAAGAGGTACTACACCGACAACAATGAGGACGCCTACATAATGACCACGGACGCCATTGCCTCCGACGCCTATAGCAAGCGGTTCCGCGTTCTTGTAGAGACGTACAAGGCCCGCCGCGGCGACCTGGCCCTGGTCCTGAGATGAGCCGCAGCCGTGGCTTGTAGGCTGTAGCTGAATTCAACGCGGGCGCGGTGGCGCGTCGGGTGACAGCGAGTTGAACTGCCGGCACTGCGGATTCGAGAGCAGCCCTTGGAAGTCTCTACTGCACTTCATGTGGGAGACCCTTATCCGAGACGCTCTCCGCCCCCAGTGATCCCACCGGACAACCCGTTTCACAGGATCAGGGCTCGCAGCCTGCTTCTCTGGGTGCTCGTTGGAATCCCAATACTAGTTGGTATGTTCATACTCGCCAATCTCTTTGTCGGTCGCTCTGACGGGGGCTTGACCCCTTCTTTCAGACGCTCATTATAAACGCCGGGTTCTACGGCCTCATGGTGGCCTGGGTCCTGAGGAAGGCTTCGGGGAACCGGGTCGATATGCGGCTGCTTATCGGCCGCGTGCCATCCGGCTACCAGTGGCGTTCGGTTGTCGGGGTAGTCGGCCTGCTGATGCTCTTCACCATATTCACATCCTGGCTGTTCCTGTACATTATATCTGTCTACCTGACCCATTTGGTGGACGTATTCGCCAATGAAGATGTCTACGTAACCGGCAAGCAGAGCGACTACGCCGGCCTCCACAACCTCCAGGCCTTCCTTGTTACGTGCTCGTAGCGCCGGTGGTCGAAGAGTCTTCTTCCGGGGTATGCTCCTGACGCGCTGGTCTCTCAAGTGGGGGCCGACCGCGGGCGTCATCGGATCGTCGATAGTGTTTGGCCTCTTTCACGTCGGCTTTGTGGGCGCGTTCGCTTTTGGCGTAGCCATGTGCCTGCTCTACATCAAGACCAACACCCTGATCGTACCCATGGCAGCCCACTTCCTGAACAACCTGGTGGCCTCCGGGTTCAGCGCAGTCGCCCTCAGGTCAGAGGGCGAAGGTCAGAACGGTGGACTTTCAGGACCTGGAGACTGGCCTGATGGTGGCCGTCGCGGGAGCGATAGTTACGCTGACGCTGCTCGTGTGGTACATCGTCCGCAACTGGCCCCGGCGGGGGGAGACGGCGCCATACCTGGTTAATCAAGTCTGGGGTGAATGAAATGCCGCGAATGACTAGGGCGTGTTCACTCTAAATGAGAGCATTGAAGATGAGGGCAGGCATGATGAACCCAAGTAAGTCACATTCAGCCTCTCACTGTGAGTGAAGGTGCGACGAAAGCCTCATAATTGAAGGTGTAGGCCCATGTTATCGTTGTACATTTGGTATGTTGACAACGTAATGCGGTACATGAGCGTGAACAGGCCCTAGATGGCTGACTACCCTTATCCTTGCGCTGGCTCTTCCCGTAGCTCTCCTCGCCTGCGACCCAGAAGAGTCGTACGTCCCGCCCAAAACGGACTGGGAAGCCCAGTAGCACTCTACAATGCCACGGACGGCCCTTAGCATAGCCTTCAGGTTATGATGCTAGCCGGACACTTCGGAAATCTCAATGCGATCTATGGTCGGCGGCTCTACGGGCTTTGAGCGCTCCCCCTGTGTTGGACGTGGTGACGGCGGTGTTCGCCAGGGCGTCCACAACGTCCAGCCCTTCCACGGCCTGTCCGAAGATGGTGTAGTTCTTGGGGAGGCCGGCCTGCTGGTGCACCACAAAGAACTGGCTGCCGTTGGTGTTGGGCCCGGCGTTGGCCATCGCCAGGGTGCCGGCCAGATAGTCCCGGGTGACGGGCTCGTCCGCAAAGCTGTACCCAGGCCCGCCCATGCCGGTGCCCTCCGGGTCGCCGCTCTGGCACATGAACCCCTTGATGATGCGGTGAAATATCACACCGTCGTAGAAGCCCTCCCGGGCCAGGAACACAAAGTTGTTCACCGTATTGGGCGCTTCCGACGCGAACAGCTCGAAGACTATTGCCCCGCTGCTGGTGTGCATGGTGGCGGTGATCTTTGCGTTGGGGTCGATGGACATTGGCGGCGGTGCGTTGTACTGCTTGGGCATGGCTACTCCTTATCTCAGTGTGATCGAATTCGTTTTTGCACTCGAACTACGGGAGTCTACCAGAACATACAGCGGGTTGCCAGCCTATTCAGGAGGACGGGGCGCCGAACAGCCGGCCCCTGCTGCCATGAAGGTAGTTGGAGGCGATGAAGCTCAGGGGCTTGCGGGCCGTCGCGAAGTGGTCTCTGAGCAGGCGGAACACCTCGGACAATCCCAGGTGTTGAGCGGAGTCGTGCTCTTCAGCCAGGCCGTAGAACTGACTGCCCTGGACCTCGTAGTCCGACAAACTGCGCCGCGTCCGGTCCGACACGGCGGTGCGCATCCGGTTGGGGACGGAGTAGCGCATAGCAGGCGATGCGTAGTCGGGGAAGACACCGGAGATGAAGAGACAGACGTCGGCGATGCGCTTGTAGTACCCGAAGCGCTGCTCCCAGTCGGCTGTGGCGCAGAGGCGCGCCAGGCTGTCGATGTCCATGTCGTTGTATACAACGCGCCTGCGGATGCCGCGGCGGACTCGCACGGGCACTGCGTAGCTGTTGATACGGGTGAAGGAGGCGAGCATGTGGGCCAGGTAGTCCAGCATCCCCTGAATGGACAGGAACCTGACGACCTCCGGGGTGTCAAAGACGGGGAGGTCGGCCCGGCCGTCCCGCTCCACGGTGTAGCCGGCCGTCTCAAGGTCCCGGAGGGCCTGTCTGAGCAGCACCTCAAAGTAGAGGGCTGGGGAGACCTTCAGAAACGTCTCCTCGTCAGCCATTAGCCGCTGGAACACGTTCTCGTTCCCGAGGATGGCCGCGCGGAACTGCTCGTCCTCCTCTATGAGGAGCTTGAGGCGGTCCGTGTCTGTATATCCCTGGGCGGCCTCACTCACGACGAAGTCCAGGTCTGACTCCGTGAGAACGACCATTCTCGGCGGCGTCTCTGGCATATGAGTTCTCCTATGTGGTTCTCCTGCCGCCCCGCCCCCTGGATTCCCGACCGGGGCTTGCCCCCGCATCAAGTGCGGGGCAGGCTCCGTACCCCGATACGGGGTCGGGAATGACGGACGCCAGGACGGCTGCCCTCGCCCTCTGCTCTGGCATACTTACCCGGCCTGTGGCATAATCTTAACACGTCAACAGAGACCACTCTATAGGGAGAATTCGCAAATATGAGCACACAGAACCTTCAACAGAAAGCACACTCTACACTGGATACCGCGCAGGGGAGTGTGGGCTACTCGCGGCTTACGGCGCTGGAGGAAGAGGGGCTGGTCAACCTTTCGAGGTTGCCCTTCTCCATCCGCGTGTTGCTGGAGAACGCACTGCGCAATCTGGACGGCTACCTGGTCACGGAAGAGGACGTAATGGCGGTCGCCAGCTGGGAGCCGAAGTCGCAGTCGTCCCGGGAGTTCCCATTCATGCCGTCCCGTGTGCTTATGCAGGACTTCACTGGGGTGCCGGCCGTCGTGGATCTGGCTGCCATGCGATCCGCCATTGCCAGGTCAGGCGGCGACCACAACAAGGTCAACCCCATCGTGCCGGTGGACCTGGTGATAGACCACTCAGTACAGGTTGACTTCTTTGGCGTTCCCACCGCATTCCAGCTCAACGTTGAGCGGGAGTTCGAGCGCAACACGGAGCGGTACACCTTCCTCCGCTGGGCGCAGAAGGCCTTCGATAACTTCTCGGTAGTGCCGCCTGGGACTGGCATAGTCCACCAGGTCAATCTTGAATACCTGGCCAAGGTTGTTACGACCCGCGAATCGGATGCCGGTTTGATGGTTTTCCCCGATACTGTGGTGGGGACGGACTCCCACACCACCATGATCAACGGACTGAGCGTCCTTGGCTGGGGCGTCGGACGCATCGAGGCGGAGGCTGTGCTGCTGGGCCAGCCCTACTACATGCAGCTTCCGGAGGTCATCGGCGTCAAGCTGACTGGCGCCCTGCGAGAGGGCGTCACGGCCACAGACCTGGTCCTCACGGTGACCCAGATCCTCAGGGAGAAGGGCGTCGTCGAGAAGTTCGTGGAGTTCTACGGCAGCGGATTGAGCAACCTGCCTCTGCCGGACAGGGCGACCATCGCCACATGTCTCCTGAGTACGGAGCGACCTGCGGTTTCTTCCCAATCGATGCTGTTACCCTGGAGTACCTGCGAGGCACCGGGCGTGGACGCAGACCAGGTGGAACTGGTGGAGCGATACGCCAAGGCGCAGGGCATCTTCCGCACCGACGACACACCCGACCCTAGTGTACACAGATTCATGGAGCTGGACATGGGCGAAGTTATACCGAGCCTGGCCGGTCCAAAGAGGCCCCAGGACCGTGTGGTCCTGAGCGATATGAGGGATGCCTTCCACTCCAACTTTGGAGAGCAGGGTCGATCTGCTACGCTGACCCTGGACGGTCAGGAGGAGTCGCTGGAGAACGGGAAGGTGGTTATAGCTGCCATCACAAGCTGCACCAACACCTCCAACCCGTCGGTGATGGTGGGCTCCGGGCTGCTGGCGAAGAAGGCCGTAGAGCGCGGCCTGACCAGGAAGCCCTGGGTGAAGACCAGCATGGCCCCCGGCTCCCAGGTGGTCACCGACTACATGGACTCCGCCGGCCTGACACCGTACCTAGAAGACCTGGGGTTCCACAACGTCGGATACGGCTGCACCACGTGCATCGGCAACAGCGGCCCGTTGCCTGAGCCGGTATCCGACGCCATCAGGGAGGGTGACCTGGCAGTCGCCGCCGTTCTGAGCGGCAACCGCAACTTCGAAGGCAGGGTGCACGCGGATGTGAAAGCCAACTACCTGGCCTCGCCGATGCTGGTGGTGGCCTACGCCCTGGCAGGCACGGTGGACATCGACCTCACCACAGATCCAATCGGGCAGGACAGCCAGGGCAATCCCGTCTACTTGCAGGACATCTGGCCCAGCCAGGCGGAGATCCGGGAGACCGTCTCCAGCTCACTCAACCCGGAGATGTTCAAGGAACGGTACGGCAACGTCTCAGTCGGGCCGGATGAGTGGAACAGTCTGCCGGTGCCGGAGGGCGCTCTGTACCTCTGGGACGAGGACTCCACCTACATCCAGGAGGTGCCCTTCTTCAAGGACTTCGGCGGCGAAATCGATGGAGCCCATGGACATCACGGGCGCTCGCGTTCTGGTGATGCTGGGCGACTCCATCACGACCGACCACATCTCCCCTGCCGGCGCGATACCCCTGACCAGGCCGGCCGGGCAGTTCCTGGTCGACAAGGGTGTGCAGCAGCGTGACTTCAATACCTTCGGCGCACGCCGCGGCAACCACGAGGTGATGATGCGCGGCACCTTCGAGGGCAACGTCCGGCTGCGGAACGCTCTGACTCCCGACAAGGAGGCGACTGGACGGTCTACTATCCGGAGAACGAGGAGACCAGCATCTACGAGGCGGGCGAGAAGTACCAGGCCGCAGACATCCCGACCATAGTCATCGCCGGCAGGGAGTACGGCGCCGGCAGCTCGCGGGACTGGGCGGCCAAAGGCCCCATCCTGCTGGGCGTGAAGGCGGCCATCGCCGAGAGCTACGAGCGCATACATCGCAGCAATCTGATAGGCATGGGCGTGCTTCCCCTTCAGTTCAAGTCCGGAGAGAGCGCGGCGAGCCTGGGCTGACGGGCCGCGAGACCTTCGACATCGTTGGCATCACCCAGGGGCTCAAGCCGGGGCAGGACATACAGCTCAAGGTGGTCCGGGAGGACGGCAGCGCATTCGAGTTCACCGCCCTATCCCGCATCGACACGCAGGTGGAGGTGGACTACTACTACC